AGATGGTGTTTCACCATGTTGGCCAGGCTGGTCTTGAACTTCTGACCTCAAGTGATCTGCCTGCCTCAGCCTCCTAAAAACCTGGGATTACAGGCATGAGCCACCGCACCCAGCTGAATTTTTCATTTTAAAATGTACATAGCCACACGTGGCCAGTGGCTACCATTTACACAGTGCAGCTGTAGATACTGGAAGACAGCCATGCCACCTTAGTACCAAAATTTGAAGTTAATAAGTAAGCTCATGAATCAAGTCAGCCCCCTGAGCCTCTTTCCCCTTTTTGTTAATAGCAGTATCCAGTATCCCAATCCCACTCCAAGCTCTTTTTTACCAGAAGTGGGGCATGAGATCCGGGCTGTTGCACAACTTCTTCCTGGCCATAGTGACTGGTACAGGAAGAAAATAAGCAGAGCTCGGATTGTCATAATCCTTGCTTGGAATGTTCTGTATTACGAAGTAAAGCAGCTTCTTCAATTTGGAGTTGTAAGGAGGGAACCCTAGAACTGCTGGCCATCATGTTCCTTTGCCACTCTGAGAATAAAACCAAAATTAGGATAAAAGACAGAGAGACAGAGTCTTGCTTCTCAAGTACTTAGATCCAGTCAACCCTAAATTCAGCTCCATCCCTTCTGTTCCATGTTTCAGTTATAATAACTGCCTTGTTTATGCTATTAATAGTTTTGAGTTAAGTTGTATCACTTGCAACCTAAAATAGTCTTAATGCAAAGCCCCACTCAGTCTGGGCAACAGTGAAATAGCTTCTCTAGCCAGGCATGCCTGTAGTCCCAGCTACTCGGGAGGCTGAGGTGGGAGGATTATTTGAGCGCAGGAGGTCAAGGCAGTGAGCCGTGATTGTGCCACTGCACTCCAGCCTGGGTGACAGAGTAAGCAGTTTACTGCACCCTTGACCGCCCAGGCTCAAACGATTCTCCCACCTCACCCTCCTGAGTAGCTGGGACCACAAACGGACACCACTGTGCCTGGCTCTATTTTTCAGAGATGGGGTCTTGTCATCTTGCCCAGCCTGGTCTCCAACTCCTGGGCTCAAGCGATCCTCCCACCTCAGCCTCCCAAGTAGCTGGGACTACAGGCATGCCACCATGCCTGGCTAATTGTTTTGTATTTTTTGTAGAGACAGGGTTTCAACATGTTGGCCAGGCTGGTCTTGAACTCCTGACCTCAAGTGATCCACCCGCCTTGGCCTCCCAAAGTGCTGGGATTACAGGTGTGAGGCACTGTGCCTCTCCTTGATTTTTAGTAGAGATGGGGTCTACGTTGCCCAGACTGGTCTCCAACTCCTGGGCTCAAGAGATCCTCCTGCCTAGGCCTCCCAAAGTGCTGGGATTACAGGCATGGGCCATGGTGCCCAGCCCTGCTTTTTTAAATGAAAAGATTCACCCTGATATGCACTGAAATAAAAAAAATTTTCAGCTAGACTAAGCAGCAAGAATTATCATATTACCAGTAATGGGCATAATATTCTGGGAGGAAAAAAAGTCATAAATCAGTCAGATTCAAGGATCAACCTGTTCAAATGTTCATATTTTATTCCTGTATCAGTAGATTAAGAAAGTAAAATTTTTCCAAGCACTGATTTATAGATCATGTTTATAAGTGGCACACAAAAAGTTAAGTTTCATAAACAATAACATTCAGTGATCTACTTAAATCCAATTGTAATCCTTACGTTAAGCTAAGGGCAATAATAATTTAATACAATAGACTAAATACACACAATACTCGTGTATCCAAAACTACAAACATGGTTTCCATAGCCACATATGGTTTTACTCAAGGACACATTTCCACAATGAACAAGTACTTACAAATATGTTAATAAAACACTAACCGAAATGCTTATCCTGCCATGAAAGCAATGCCTTTTTTTTTTTTTTTTTTTTTGAGACGGAGTCTCGCTCTGTTGCCCAGGCTGGAGTGCAGTGGCCGGATCTCAGCTCACTGCAAGCTCCGCCTCCCGGGTTCACGCCATTCTCCGGCCTCAGCCTCCCGAGTAGCTGGGACTACAGGCGCCCGCCACCTCGCCCGGCTAGTTTTTTTTTTTGTATTTCTTAATAGAGACGGGGTTTCACCGTGTTAGCCAGGATGGTCTCGATCTCCTGACCTCGTGATCCGCCCGTCTCGGCCTCCCAAAGTGCTGGGATTACAGGCTTGAGCCACCGCGCCCGGCCGCAATGCCATTTTTTTGCAATGCCATTTAAGCAATGCCATTCCTGCTACTGAAAGCATTTATTTTTAGAAGCTCGAATCTGATCTGGGAAAACGGGTTCTCCTAAAACTCAACAGGATGTTATAAATCTGAAAAGATTTTAAATCAAAAAGCCTTCCAACACAGCATTATTCATGTGAAACTTGATTTCTTAAAAAATAATAAGTTGTTATCTGAAGAAAATTAAAACAGATTATCTTTTAAGAGATACAAACATTCTCACAAAAAACTGTATTTTCTTCTATCATCTCTTTAACAGAAATGCAAACCAGTTCATTATCTGTATTTGTTATTTTGAGACAGAGTCACACTCTCTTGCTCAGGTTGGAGTGCAGTGGCACCATCTCAGCTCACTGCAATGTCTGCCTCCTGGGTTCAAAGCAGTTCTTCTGCCTCAGCCTCCCGAGTAGCTGGGATTACACGCACATGCCTCCATGCCTGGCTAATTTTTAAATTTTTAGTAGAGGCAAGGTTTTCCCATGTTGGCCAGGTTGGTCTCGAACTCCTGGCCTCAAGTGATCTGCCTGCCTCAGTCTCCCAAAGTGCTGGGATTATAGGCGTGAGCCACCACACCTGGCCTAGTTCATTTCTTTAATAATAAACTAGACAATAAACTAGTTGCTGTCTAAAAACTTCTGACTACATGAAGTACAAATCTGAGCTGTTGAGTCAAAAATGCCATTTAGATTTCACATATTAAATAGCTACAGTAGGCCAGGCATGGTGGCTCACACCTGTAATCCCAGCACTTTGGGAGGCCGAGGCAGGTGGATCACAAGGTCAAGAGATTGAAACCATCCTGGCTAACACGGTGAAACCCCTGCCTCTACTAAAAATACAAAAAATTAGCCAGGCGTGGTGGTGGGCACCTGTAGTTCCAGCTACTCAGGAGGCTGAAGAAGAAGAATCACTTGAACCTGGGAGGTGGAGCTTACAGTGAGCTGAGATCGTGCCACTGCCCTCCAGCCTGGTGACAGAGCGAGACTTTTAAAAAAAAAAAAAAAAGCTACAGTATAGCTTACAAGGCCATAAACATACCTAACAGATAAATACTACTTTATCCTTTAGATAGTCAAAAGTCAGAAGGAACGGCATGGCTTGCAAGATACATTGACTTATGTGTGGTCATTAAACCCCAGTAAGTAATTCAAGTATGGTAATACAAAGGCAGGCAATTACATACACCAATATCACTCTAAAATCAAAGGCATAAAAATAAAGGCTGAAAACTTTCTCTATCTTTCATTTACATGGCTAGATATCAGAACCTTACTTTAGAAAATATACAATTATTATATATGATTTCCCCAGATGGTAATTTTCAGAAACTACAAAAAGTGTCAAGATCCATAGTTTGCTTCATCAAATGCTTTTCTAGCTCGTTTCAATTCTTCATTCATAGTAAGCAAGTCTTTAACCCTGGCAAACTTTCTTGGGTCCTTTCGAATCAAGAAGACAATATCTTCAACTTGTACTCGACCTTGTCTTCCAATCGACATTGCCTTGTGAGTCTATTACAAAGAAACATATTATATTTAATTTTTTACAATCTAATATTTTACTGTTTTAATTTGCATTTATTAATTGCAAGTGAGGTCGAAGATTTTCTCTTATTATTATAGCTATATCATGGCTATTCATTTGTGAATTATCTTTCTACTTATGTCCTCTGTCCATTTTCTTTTTTTTTTTTTTTTTTTTTGAGACGGAGTCTCGCTCTGTCGCCCAGGCTGGAGTGCAGTGGCCGGATCTCAGCTCACTGCAAGCTCCGCCTCCCGGGTTTACGCCATTCTCCTGCCTCAGCCTCCCGAGTAGCTGGGACTACAGACGCCCGCCACCTCGCTCGGCTAGCTTTTTGTATTTTTTAGTAGAGACGGGGTTTCAACGTGTTTGCCAGGATGGTCTTGATCTCCTGACCTCCTGATCCGCCCGTCTCCGCCTCCCAAAGTGCTAGGATTACAGGCTTGAGCCACCGCGCCCGGCCCCTCTGTCCATTTTCTAGTGGGTTATTAGCAATGTTCCCCTTTTTGTTTCACAGGCACTTTAAAAAAATATCTTTTTTTTTGAGACGGAGTCTCGCTCTGTCGCCCAGGCTGGAGTGCAGTGGCGCGATCTCGGCTCACTACACGCTCCGCCTCCCGGGTTCACGCCATTCTCCTGCCTCAGCCTCCTGAGTAGCTGGAACTACAGGCGCCCGCCACCACGCCCGGCTACTTTTTTTTATATTTTCAGTAGATACGGGGTTTCACTGTGTTAGCCACGCTTGTCTTGAACTCCTGAACTCGGGCGATCCACCTGCCTCGGCCTCCCAAAGTCCTGGGATTACAGGTGTGAGCCACCATGCCCAGCCAAAAAAATATCTTAAGGACATTAAAATATCAACTTTATTGTTCCTTTTCTGTTTTTTGATATATGTAGATTTTGTCTTCATTTGTATAAAATAATTTTATCATTTTGTGTACTCACCCATTTCATTTATGCTTTGTGTCCTCCTCCATCTTAATACCCAATAAATATTGGTGGATTTTCTAAAAATCAAATAAATCTCATCCCCTGTCATTATATACTCTCCTGTGCAAAATTGAAGACCTATCATAGGATTATTTCTAATGACTAAAAAATAGAAGCTAAATACTTAATAATACGGCATTGAGCCGGACATAGTGGCTCACACTGGTAATCCCAGAACTTTGTGAGGCTGAGGGGTTAGATCGCTTGAACCCAGGAGTTCAAGACCAACCTGGGCAACATAGTGAGACCCTGTCTCTACAAAAAATTTAAAAATTAACAGAGCTTGCCAGGCGCAGTGGCTCATGCCTGTAATCCCAGCACTTTGGGATGCCAAGGCAAGCAGATCAAGAGGTCAGGAGATCAAGACTATCCTGGCTAACATGGTGAAACCCCATCTCTACTAAAAACACAAAAAATTAGCCCGGCGTGGTGGCAGGCGCCTGTAGTCCCAGCTACTCGGGAGGG